TATGCACCATACCCAGTCAAGTGGACGAATGTCTTTGTTTCCAAGCTATATCTGGGTTTGTAAATAAACTCTTTTGATAATATTGTGAAGCACCTGCCAGCTTCTAAAATGGCATCGATATCAGCGGCTTTATTATAAAATATATCGATTTTCCCTCTCAAATCAGGTCCATTGTCTAGAAGATCGATAATTTTTAATTTTTTTTTAATAAGAGAAACAATGAGACAATAGAATATAGACTCCTATGCATGGATAATTTAGTTCTAAGCTTTTTGAAGAATATATTTTTTTACAATATTTCCGTTAATTTTTATGATATTAGGTTCTTTCAAATGCCATTTGAAAAGTAATTTCAAGGGCTATAAAGTCGTATTAAATTTAATCTTTTAAATACCTTATTTTTTAAAAGATAAAAGATTAAACAGGCCCGGTTACATGGTGAAGAAAATGAAATTTATGAAAATTTAAAAATTCTGATTTTTTTAATCAAATTTTTTTTCAAAAATATTTGTTCTAAACCGGTCAAAATTTTTAATGTCATTATTTATGCTAAATTAAAGAAAGTCTTATAGGGATTACTTCTTCTTCTTCAAGTGCCCTGTCCGTTGCGAACGTTGGCTATTAACATGGCAATTTTGATCTTGTTTGAGGCGCTTCTGAATAGTTCGACCGATGTGAGCCCGAACCACTTCCGCAGATTTTGGAGCCACGAGTGTCTTCTCCTGTCTGGCCCTCGCTTACTGTCTATTTTTCCCTAGACAATCAATTGTAGCAGACTTTACTTATCGTGTCTCAATATGTGACCTAGATATTCAAGCTTTCTTTGTTTAATTGTACTCACGATTTCTTTCTCCTTTCCGATTCTTTGGAGTACCTCTATGTTGGTGCCATGTTCGGTCCAGGATATACGAAGAATGCGTCGGTACACTAACATTTCGAATGCTTCTAGTTTTCTCGTTAGCATCTCCGTCAGCGTCCAGGCCTCCACGCCATACAGCAAGATCGGAAAAATGTAGCTTTAACTAGACGTAGTTTTAGGGGAAGAGACAAATCCTTATGAGGAGCTTTTTTATATTGCTAAATGCTGCTCTAGCTCGTTCTATTCTCGCCTTAATTTCTATGACCTGTTCCCATTTTGCATTTACGTTGGTGCCAAGGTATACATAAGATTCTACATGGCCAATTAGTATGTTACTTATCCGTAATTACCCCCTCTGTGGCTCAGTGGTAAGAGCGCCTGCCTTTAAACCTAAAGGTCGTGAGTTCGAATCCCACCTGGGTGGAAATTTTCGTTTATTAAAAAAATTAATAAATGAAAATAATTTCTATCCTTGTGTGATCGGTACACACCGGAGGGACCGCAGACGTTCGGATACAATTAGCGTCTCTTAGCAAAGACAATGACGTCGACTTTGCTAAGTATCAAGATAATTACTCTACACACACACACACACACACACACACACACACACACACACACACACACAACACACACACACACACACACACACTACACCTCAAATTGTAAGATTGGCGAATGGATTTAGTGTCCGCAGTCATTTAAACACAAACAAACAACAACAATATCCGTAATTGTCGAGCAGGTTATTGCTTTTTGCTTATCAGCATCCAGTTTGTCTTCTTGAAGTTGAGGCTCAGGCCGTGTTCCCCACTAACTGAATAAAGTCTTTCCATTACTTGTTGTAATTCATCTATGGTACTGGCAAGGATCACCGTGTCATCAGCATATCTTGTATTGTTCGTTAACTCGCCGTTTATTTTTATGCCCTCATTTGCATTTTCCATACATTTGTTAAATATTTCCTCGGAATACATATTGAATAGGAGTGGGGATAATATACATCCCTGACGGACACCTCTTTTGATCTGCACGCTTTCAGTGAGTTCGTTGCCAATTTTTGCTCTTGATGTTTGACCCCATTATAGGTTTGCCACAATTCGAATGTCCTTGTCGTCAATACCTGTCTTTCACAGAATACCTATCAATTGTTCATGATTGACATTATCAAATGCTTTTCTAAAATCTACAAAGCACAAATACACGTCCTTATCAACGTCTCTACACCGCTGTATAATCACCTGGAGAGCGAAAATTGCTTCTCTACTTCCAAGTGCTTTCCGAAAACCAAACTGCGATCTATCAATATTTGACACACATTTATCATATATTCTTCTATGAATGATCTTAGTGAACGCTTTAGTAACATGATTGATCAAGCTTATAAGCCGGTAGTCATCACAAATCTAAGCATTTGGTTTCTTCGGGATTGTAATAAATGTTGACTGCAGCCAGTTCTCCGGGATTTTACCGCTATTATATATGTTGTTAAAAAGTACAACTAGATTATCAAGGAAATGTTTGTCTGATTTACATAAAAATCTTTAATATTTCGCAGGGTACATTGTCCGGACTTGCTGACTTATTATTTTTTAGTGCTGCAATGGCATCTTCTATCTCCGATTTAAGGATTGAAGGTCCTGTTTCTCCTTCTCCATATATGTGATCATCAGTTTTGTCAGATGCAAATATTTTTCCATGTATGATTTCCATGTTTTTATGAATCCCAAATAGGGATTACTATAAATTTTAATTTTTGTAGAAATAGCGTATTTTTTTTTCACTTTTTCTAAAAAAAATTCGAAAGGCTCTTTCCTCTTCGAAAGCCTCTTATTTTCATCATAACTTGCTTAATTTTGATGCTATCAATTTTTTCTAGAGCTTATTTTATAGGTATTTCTGAGTACTTTTAAAATTGTTCAATAAGTATATTTTATAAAATGCATTGTTTTCCCGTTATTTAAGCTTTAATTTTCAATTTAACTTTCATTTGAGTACTCGCCGAAAAAAATACATTTACAATTACATTTACAATTACCTATAACTCACTTTGAATTAATACTAAAAGGTTTTTAAAGCAAGGAGTTTATTCTATTTTTTATTAGCTTCAATTTTGGTAATTACAACTTTTTTATAAAAACTTATAGTTTTTGAGTTATTTATGAAAAGCCGGTTTAAAACATGCATTTTTTCACGAAAAATCAAAATCTTTGATCTTCAATAACTCAAAAAGTTTTATAAGATAAATTTTATTTAGATTTGGTTCCTCTATTGATTTCTGGGGTTATTTTTAATAAACTAATTTCCACCCTTAAGAAGGAGTGGCATCCACCCCCAGGGTAAAAGCGCAAGTTGACACCATGTCACTTTTGTTTTTTAAGATATCCTCCAACTATTCACCAATTTGCATGAAAATCGATGGAGATTCAACGAAATCGGGGTGAAAACATTTAGTGACTGTACTAGTAAGAAAGATTTTGAACCTCCAGATTTGGTTTGGAATAAGGAACAACAATATACCCTTTAAAACGCCCCCAAGTGAATAGCCTCATGATTCTTTTTTTTTTTTTTAATATATAGGCGAACAGCACTTTGAGCAGATGGCCACGTTTCCCAATATTTTTGCTTTACGTAACAAAAAACTCAGTTCAAAAATACATGTGTAGATGAAATTACAAGTTTATTTGCTTTACACATTATTTAAAGTTGTCTAAAATTTCCTGCAGTTTGTTTATATTGGCACAATTTGCATATCAATATATTTAGTGAAGTAATGGCAATAGACCAATTTTTTCAACTTCCATTAAATTGACATTGTGTAGATACTTTGAAATCCCCAATAACTGTACCGATAAGTTCTATAGAGTACGTCCTTTGTATGACAGTATCAGGAAACGATGTTTAGAGTTAAAGTTAGAAGAAAACCTATATATTGATAAACAAATGGTACCATTTAGGAGCCATTTGTCTGTAATTCAATACTCAAAGGGTAAACCTACACCCTGGGGGTAAAACTTTTTGTCCCATGCAGAAATTCTGGCATCGCTTATGATTTTGTTTTATATCAAAGCGCTTCTACTGAGTTAGATGCTCATCTACTAAAAGGGTTTGGATTTTGGGCTACCATAATTCTTCATCTTACAGAAAGAATAAATAATAAAGGGCACAAGTTACAATAATTACTTTTCCTTGTATCAACTTCAAGTGTTAAAATCAAATAAAACATTAGCAACTGGAACAATTCAAGGCAATAGGTTCAACAATCCTCCTAAGAAAAAGTTTAAGTAAAAAGTAAAGATGGGGATGGATAATCGAAATGTGCAATTGTTCTGTGACAAAAATCTGAATACTGCGCTGAGATTGAGGTTTGTTGAATGTTACGTCTGGTCCCAACTACTGTACGGGGGTAGAAAAATGGACGTTAAAAGCGCAAATAGTTAAGAAGCTTGAAGCCTTTAAACTTTGGATATACCGGCGAATGTTGGAAATGCCATGGACTGCCAGGGTCACCAATGAGGAAGTCCTGAGAAGTATGGGTCGAGACAAAAAATTGTTGAGAACAATAAAAGTACGCAAGACGGTATACCTTGGACACATACTGAGAAATTATGAATAAAGTCTTCTGCAGGTCATCATGCAGGATACAGTCAATGGTAAAAAGATAATAGGTAGAAAGAGAATACGCTCGAATATTTCGCAGCCATTTCGCATGGCTGCGAAATATTCGAGACTGGACAAACATGACTGTGGATGAATTATTCCACGTTGCAAAAGACGATTTAGAAATATGGTCGCCAACCTCCGTTATTGGGGACGGCATAGGAAGAAGAAGAATTGAACTTACACTGTATTTGGCTATTTTACAGTATATAATAATTATAATGAATAATAAAATACATATATGGCTATTTAGAAGATACAGAATATTTGTCGTAGCTCACGAACATTATATTAGACGGAGAGTGATCCATATTTTTTTAAGTATTATTAAATTTTTATCTAAAAAGCTAAGTTTTATTTAGAGTTTTTAAGGTGTATGTATTATAAACTTTAAATAAAATTAAAAATAAATAAAAGTTTAACCTGTTAAAACTTTAAATATTATTTGAAATAATAACTCAGGTAAAATTGTCGAACTTACCTACTCTAATTATGTAAACTCTTCTGCCTAATTGATCCCTTGAAGAGAGCATGGTTTGAGCTTGTAACTCAAACATCGTCCCACACTCTGAAGGCAATGGACATTGAAATAGCTCCGGGCATTTTATTTTCATCAAAAAATATCTTTGAAGCTGAAACAGTAATTGAAAGTAAATATTGAATTATATCAAAGGAAATTGAATCATATTTCATTCGCTGTATAAACGTCCGTTAAATAAATTTTTAAATATTGAAAAAATATTTTCTGCTCTTTATGAAGTATCCAAATTAAGTTAAAAAGTTTCTCTCATAATTAAAAGCAGCAATAAAGTTTGATTAAGAAATAAATATAAAGTATTATATTTTATCGTGCAACTTTGTTAATATAGTAATATAATTATTGGAATAGAAGTAAAGCTATAGTTTAATAATAGACTTTCAATAATCTAATTGCAGTTTTGATTATTCGTCATGAAGAAAACCGTTTATTATTTATTATGATCTGGCTGTTTACCCTTACGAGCTTGTCTATTTTCTATACAGCAGTTAACGTACCCATGGTTCAGAAGACTACTTTCAACATGAGTAGACTACTTTCTAGATGAAGCTCCAACACCAGAGGTGACAACAAACGAAGAAAGAAATATTGAGAAGAAAGAGGTAAAAAAAGCGTTAAGGAAATTAAAAAATAGAAAATCACCAGGAGAGTACAGAATACCGAACGAACTTCTATAGTAGGAAGGACCAGATCTGACCAAATAACTATTAAAACTTATCCAAAAAATAACAGAACAAACCAGAATTTCTCAAGAATGGAGATCAAGCAGCCTAAAAGGGAGACAAATTTGAACCGGAAAATTGCAGAAAAATTAATTTATTAAACATAACACCATAAGTAGCAACCAAATTGATAACAAATAAAATGAATGGAAATTATATCACTAAGAGAAGAACAACAATGTTTAAGGTCGGAAGATCATGCACCGATGCTATTTTTTATACTAATATGAGTGCAACAGAAATCATAAGAATACAACAAAGCTACATTTGGTAGACCTTCAGAAGGCATTTGACTGGGTTAAATTAAAGGACGTTATCCACTTATTGTACGCAAGAGAGAAACCTCTAGAAATAATCAAAACAATAGAAAATATCTACCAAAATAATACAATATAAGTAAAAGTAGAAGAAGAACTAACCGACCCTATTGATGCTGGCAATGGAATAAGACAGGGAGATTCCCTGAGTCTTCTACTATTTAACCTGATTATAGATTAAATAATAAAAAAAGTAAGAATTAAAGAAGGATACCAAATGGGAGAAAAACCTGATCCTGATTCTCTTTAACATCCGAAATGCTTTTAATACATTGCAGTGGGGTCACGTAATGAGCTCTTTGGAAGCCAGAAAATCCTGGTATTTGAGGAATGTTGTCGCTGTTTATCTTTCCGAGAAGAAGATTGTAGCGGAAAATGGTGTGAGGGTGGATGTAAAGGCTGGGGTGCCGCAGGTATCCCGGATTACGCGTACATTTGTCATAGTTGAGGATTGCATGAGCGAGCATGATCTTTCTCTCGCGGAGGATAAGACTGAGGCTGTAGTATACAGAGGCTACAGAAAGAGAGATCGGGTTGAATTTGAGTGGGGGGAAGTGAGAGTGACGCCCAAAAAGTACGTCAAGTATCTCTCGTCAAGGGAGGTACTCTCCACCAGGGTGGGAGTTGGGGGGAACATTTGAGGAAGGTGACCTGCAGAGCTATTCAGAGAATGGCTACGCTGGGGAGGATAATGCCTAATATCGGTGGACCCAAGAGGCTTATGGTAGACGTGGACAGAATTAGACTACTACGGGTAAAGGACTGTGTCAGCTGCCGCTCTGTGGGTTATTACCAGCTGTGTTCCGTTATATATACTGGCAGGTGAAAGGGCCAGGATTCACAGTCGTAAGGAGCGGAAAATTGCACAGCGAGAAATGAATAAAATAAGGATGGCCAAGAGATTAGCTTTAATCGATGAATGGCAGCAAGAGTGGGAGTTAACAGGATTAGTCGGACTGATCTCGAACCTTCGAAGCTTGGTGGACTGTGGACATAGTCAGCTGAATTATTATCTGACTCAAATGCTCACAGCTCATGGCTGCTTCTGCAGCTACCTTTTCAGGCTTAGGAGTGCTCAGTCCGACCAGTGCCTTTACTGTGGTTTCTCGGACACTCTGATACACACGATGTTGGAGTGTGAGCGTTGGGCGGATAAAAGAGAAAAGTTTGTAAGAGGATGTAACTGCAGAATGTTTGCTTCCGTAAGAGAAATGGTAGAGAAAATGATGAGGGATGAGTGGTGGTTGACACGGATTCACAAGAACGAGGGGTGCGGGAACTCGCAACAGAATTCTAATACAAGCGAGTAGCACCTGGTTGGAGTTCGGAGCAAGCAGGCTTGCTAGCTAAGCAGGGGCTTTAAAGTCCTTGGTGATCTTTACAACCATTAGCCGAAAAAGCTTCGTCTTTTGTCAAAAATTCTTTTCATTTTATTGACCTTCTGAAAAATATTTCTATTTCTCCATCAGATATACTATTTAGTTTTGACATCGTTTTTTTGTTCACCAATATTCCTATCGATGAAACCATTTCCATCTTGGACTCCAAACATCAAATCCCCCAAGACACACTATCTCTTATAAAACACTGCATGTCTAATACATACTTTTCATTCCAAAATCATTTCTATCAAATCAAAGGTGCCCCAATGGGATCTCCCCTCTCTCCCGTAATAGCTGATATTTTCATGGAACATTTCGAAACAGCAGCCCTGTCATCATCAAATCTTAAACCCACCTGCTGGTTACGGTATGTTGATGACACTTTTGTCATTTGGCCTCATGGTAGGGACGCGTTAGATCTCTTCCTCTTCCACCTAAATGGAATACATCCTAGTATCCAATTCACGATGGAAGTCGAGTTTGAAGCATCTTTGCCATTTCTTGATGTCCTTATTCAGAAAAACTTACCTCACAGTTTTTCCTATTTCGTGTACCGGAAACCCACTCATACAAACCGATATCTTAATGCCCAGTCACATCATCACCCCGCCCAACTCAATTCAGTGGTCAACACTCTCATTTATAATAAGAGCATTCAAAAATATCTAAACCCCATTCCATCCAAAAAAGAAACCTTGCCGCCGGATCAACCCAAAATCTTTCTACCTTTTATTAAATTTGTCACTGACAAAATCAGTAGAACTCTTTTTCCTCTAAACATCAAAACTATCTTCACTACTCACTCCAAGTTGTCCAATCTCGTCAGATCCGTAAAAGACCAAATCCCTAATGAAGACCATGGTGTCTACGAGATACCTTGTTCCAGTTGCCTACGTACATACATCGGACAGACAAACCGACGAATCCATAACCGTGTTTACGAACATTTTATATCAGTCAAACATTCCGATACTACTTCAGCCCTAGCCCAACATCACATTCAAACAGGCCACAAAATAGACTTCGAAAAAGCAAAAACCATCGCCCCCATCCGCTCCTTAAAATCAAGAATCATTCGTGAAGCCATCAAAATCGAAAAACAGCCTAACAGCTTAAATACGCGCGATGACGCAAAACGATTGCCGCCAACATGGCGGCCCCTACTTCAGCGACCTCCCGCCCATACCGTTTAGGCCACGTCAGTTCAGACCACGTCAGCCCATACCGTTACCGCGCGTACAGTGAGTATAAAAGCAGCATCACAGGGTAAGACCGGTTGTCACTCGACACTGAGGAGTAGGCAGATTGAGACCTCAGTGCCGAGAGACAGTTCTTGTATTTATAATACAGAACACGATACTGGTACGTGTCGAGTGAGGGGAGTAGGCAGATTGAGACCCCGAACTCGAACCGAACCGTATCACTCTTGATAATGGCTCCAAAACGGGAGCCGAAACGTTGAGCATTAAATTCTCAACGCGGTTCTTCCCGAGAACCTAGTGATGTGAACACTATCAACCATTTATAGGTTGACTAAACCTGGTCCAAAAAATGACAATGTGATATGTAGTTGTGTTTTAACTGTTTTGTTTCTTAAATGTTTAATGTTTTTTAATATTTGTATTGTACTAGCACACTGGAGAAAAATAACAAAAATGCACTTGTATTGTTTGAGTTTTCAAGCCACCATATAACACATACAATTTATTCCTTTTTTTGCTACAAAAAAATCTTCAAAATAGTTTTTCAACATGGAACTTTCAAATACCACTTTTGCCTGCAACCTCACACAACATTCGTCTGAAGATGTTAAAGAAATTTAACGAAATATAGCGAAGTCGTTGAAAAGAGCACACTTTGGCTTTCATTATTCAGCTGCTAACCCAATTAACCTTACCATTATACTAATTAATAATTGGACAGCTGTGATCATTCTTCGTTTATATATATATATATATATATATAATATAAATATATATATATATATATATATATATATATATATATATATATAAATATATATATATATATATATATATATATATATATATATATATATAATTATTTAATTCGATTTCCCTTATTTCGAATATTTTCCATTTTGCTGTAAGTTAATAATAATACACATCTGGTGCTTACCATATGAAAAGCTTTGGTACTGTCACATTTTCTAGCTCTTAAGAATCTGATTAAAAACTCATCAGTATTAGGCACTGTCAAGTTGGTATCATCTAAAAACGGTATAAAAAGAGACCATAAATTTCGACCACAAATTTAATTGTTTAATAAAATATAAATCATATTTGTACGGTATTTATCTGATTACTAGAAAACTAAAACATTCAAATCACCTAGAAAGAATTTTGATCCAGATGTGTACATTGCATAAGTTAAAACGTAAAGTGCAAATTTTCCTAGAACTTATAATAGTTTAATAGACTAAAATTAAGAGCAGCATATTAATGGATATGTTAGCCACATGTCAATAGTTTAACCGGCGTAAATATTACCTAATGCTTACTTTGTAAAAAACGCAGATTGTAATAAATTGGGATGTCAATAAAAAAAATTATGTTATTATATAGTTTAAATTGAGGCTTTTTTATTAACTACTGTACAATGTTTGCAAGACTTTTGCAATATATGAGTGCTCCTTAATTAACTGAAAAGTATTTTTTATTTAGGATTATGTGTACATATTACCCACCAAGTTTTCACCCTGACAAATGGTAATAACACATCTAACGGCCGGCTATTTAACGGGATAATGAAACCAGTCTTTTTTATTATCATCTGCTCCACCATATTTCTGAATATGGCTCCGTCGTTAGATAGAATATCGCATGGGGGACTAATAAAAAAACGCCAACTGAGGCCACGTCCAAGTCGTCCAAGTAATAGGTACAGCTCGCCATGCCAAAGCTATACACGTGAAATGTGCACAAAATATCGGTATGGTCGTTGAAGAGATTTTTTAAAGAATTTTTTGTTCTAAATTAAAATCAAAAGTATTGATTTTAACATATCATATATAATATATTTTTTCTACTCGTATATTAATCGTTATGTTCTCCGTTCCATCGCTTTGCATTATGACTTACGCATCCGCGTACTTTCCTATAATGAAATGGATTAGTCTTTTTTGGTTGATTTGATTTTTTGATTACAATTTATTGTGTCCCCGACCTGATTTCGTTATTTATCTTCACTCCTTTCTAGTTCTGCAGATCAGTTTCATTGTTTTATTTGCATGATTTTTAAGTCATTTTCCACGGCATCCTTTCCTTCTATCCCCTAATTGAATTGATCATCTCATTTGTCGGTCTTCTGATGATGTATATATTTCAACCACTGTGATTTAATTGATCTCACTATATTGTCGTGTCCTAACTCTTTTTATATGTCTTTGTTTCTTTTAATCTTCTCTTTATAAGGTGATGTAAAGTCTTCAAACTGTCAACGGCATAAGAATGTACAAGGCAAGGGGAAACCAATACATTAAAGATTCTACACAGATATCCCTAGTACAATTCATGGTCATGGCTATACAAAAAAAGTAACTCTGTTACTGATCATGGATATCGGAGGCCGAGATCCGGCAGGGGAGGCAAATCACACATAGAACACAGGACATATTAGGTCGATATCAAACGAAATCCCTGTGAAATACCCTTTAGTAACACATCGTCCAAAAAGAAGACTAAAATCGACAGCAAGTGTATGAAGATAGGCACGTGGAATGTTAAGTCAATATACCAAGCAGGTAAAGTCCATAATGTCATTCAGGAAATGGAAAGACTTGACATAAAAATATTAGAACTAAGTGAGACCAGATGGCCCAATTCAGGTGACATATCAGTGGGTCAAACAAAGATATACTATGTAACAATAAAAGACTGATAACTTTGTTTTCAAACTTCCACAAAATTTATTTTAACCTCTTATCACAACAGCTGTTTCGGCTAATTGCCTTTCTCAAGTCACTTGAGAAATGCCGAATTGCAAGGTAAAACAGACGTTGATAAAGATGTTATTAGAGACATGGGGAATCTAAAATTTGCATTCCAAGACATATCTCTTTAACTAAGATTACCCTAATTAATTTTTACTTTAGATAGTTAGATAGTTTAGTATTTGTAAATAAAAGTTTTAAGTTCGTGATCTACGTGTTTAAGGAAAATTTACGGTACAAATTAGTGTCAGAAGTGAGACGTCTTACTGGGTGAGTTCATTATTAGTGGAAAATGCCGAGAACCAGAGATCAAAATGATTTGCGAACTGAATCTGGAGATGTTCCAGCAGGTATCTTCTCTCAAGATCCTTGCCATGCTGCAGAGTATAATGACTACATTGGAAAAAAAATTCAAGACCATGCTGTATTGCAAGAAAATCTGAATTCGAATAAAGAAAACGAAGCTACAATCACGGAACAGCTAGATCGTCTTAAAGAAGAGACGTTTAGCAAATTGGCGAAATGCAACAAGCCGCTAATAAGACCACAGCGCAACTTCACACAGGCATACAAGAGGTTGTGAATGAGAATACCTCGGAACTGAGGACTATCTCTGAGCAACATCAAAAGACTTTTTCGAGCTTGGTGTCTTAATTAGAAAGAAGATATGGTGACAAACATCTACAGCAATTGTACCAAATTCCAAGTAATTTGGTTCAAATTTGTTAAGGTCCAAACAGTAAAAATCCGTTGAATCTCTATAAGAATTCGAAGCCGATATAGCACGCCTCTTTAGTCTAGCCTATCCTACCGCCCCAGATGACTTTCTAGAAATACTGGCCATCCAGAGTTTTGTACATAAATTACGTGATATTAAAATACAGCGGGTTATGTAAATGGCTCTTCTTCTTAAGGTGCCTTATCCTTAAGGACGTTGTCCATTACATTTGCCCATTTAATCTTATTTGTAGCAGCCCTGAATAGTTCTATGGAGGTCATGTTCGTCCATTGCCGTAGGTTTTTAAGCCAAGAGTTGCGTCTTCTTCCTGGTCCTCTTTTGCTATTGACTTTGCTTTCGATTATAAGTTGGAGCAGTTCATACTTTTGATTTCTTATGAGGTGACCAAAATATTATGTTTTCCGTTCTTTTATTATAAGCATAAGCTCTCTTTCCTTATTCCTGTAAATGGCTAGGAATGAAATGTTAGGACATGTCTTGGCTCACGCATTATAGTACAAGGTAGCAGTAGTTGAAAGTCACATAACAATTCGAGAAGTTCAGGCCACCAACGATAATGAAAAACTTAGAGGAGTGGGTTATCGTAGAAATCAATATTAGTTTATGCTGCTTTAGGAAAACTTCAGCTCAACGAGAAAATTTTTATGAATTCTGGTAAGCTTAATGTAAAAACTTATCAAATAACTATTGATACTGAAACAACTCACACTATAGTCCATCCAAGGATGATATATGTTCCTCCAATACAAAAAAAAGTTAGAGAAGTTATGCTTTAACTTTAGTAGCTCCTATCCATGGTTACACCGATGTGAAATTGCAGCTTAAAGGGCAGAAAATCATACATCGTGTGCTGGTAGCTGATATGTCATTGTTGGTAAAGACTTTTTAGTTCACTATAACGGTAAGGTAGATTTAAAAGCAAATGTTCTTCAAATTGAAAATTAAACAGTCTTGTTGATGTCAGCAGAATGTAGTGAAACCATATGCCGCATCTGTGTTGAAGAAGATGTTCTATTATCAGTCTGATTCCAAGTCATAGTAGCTGCTGTTGCGAAACCAGAACTAGACCTACTACTTTTCTCAGAATCTTTGAAATAGCTATATAACAACACACTAAAGACATCCTTCTAGCAAGAAATCTAGTTAGAATGCACAATATTTCGTTCCCTGTCCGAATAGGAATCTCAATTGGTACGCTTAAGGGTTTCACTAGTATTAGAAATTGTATTGTGCAACCACAAAAATCCCCGATTGCTTCAAAATTAACAAAAATCAGAAGGACAAACTTTATAAACTTCTGAAGATGGATTCTTCTTAATATTCAACAATTACGGGTCCCACGACGGTAGCTCAACATGGAATAAACACTGAAAATGCTAGTCCCATTAAACAAGCTCCTAGAAGAGACCCGTTTGCGGGTCTCTTCTAGGGGCTTGTTTAATGGGACGAAAACGTTTAATGGGACGGGAACGAAAAGAAGTCGAGACAGTTTTCAAAGTAATGCAGAAATAACGTGTAATAAAACCATCAGAAGGTTCGTGGAGTTCCTCAGTTGTCTTGGTGAAAAAGAAGGATGGCTTTACTAGATTCTGTTTGGAGATATATATATATATATATATATATATATATATATATATATATATATATATATATATATATATATATCAGTGAAAACGCGCCATCGGGTTCTATTTTGCGCTAAGGCCTTCACCTCATTCCAAGACTTTCCTTGTTTTCTTATCTCGTCCATGATGGATCTTCTCCAAGTTTGTACTGGGCGACCTTTTTTTCGTTTTCCTTGGGGATTCCACTCTAGGGCAGTCTTTGCAATACTGGAGTTATTTTTTCGGAGTGTGTGACCGATCCAACCCCACTTTCTGGACTTTATTTCATTTACTACCCTCTTTTGTTTGGTCAGGTGTAGTAAATCTTCGTTTCTGATGATGTTAGGCCAGAAAATACGAACAATTCTTCGTAGACATTTATTAACAAAGACCTGCAGTTTGTCTGTAAGAGTTTTTGTCGCTTTCCAGGTTTCACATCCGTAAAGTAGTACAGACATGACATTTGACTGGAATATGCGGATCTTTGTCCTCGTAGTGTAGTCTCCAGACCTCCAAACAGGGTTGAGCATGCTGAAAGCTTGTTGCGCTTTTCGTATCCTCATACGAATATCGTCTTCTGTACCTCCGCTTTCTGTTATGACACTTCCAAGATACGTAAAGTTTTCCACATTCTCAATCTGCATGTTATTAATGGTGAATAGCGTGTTGTTTCTTGAATTTATTCTCATGGATTTGGTTTTACCAATATTGATTTTCAAACCTATTTTATTGGCTTCAGTGGAAAGTGTTTCCAATTGGTCAGCCACATCTTGAAACCTTTGTCCTAACAGGCAGATATCGTCGGCGTATTCTAGATCGCTTAGGCGTGTGGTTAACGTCCATTGTATCCCTCTTGTGTCAGAGTCTAGTTTAGAGAGAACATAGTCTAGAGCTGTGTTAAAAAGAAACGGAGAAAGCACGCATCCCTGTCTGACTCCAGTAAGTACGTCAAATTCGTCACTGTTGATCCCCTGTTTGGAGTAAAAGAGATTAAAATGTTCCGGTCAAGGATAGTTATCCAATGCCATGTATTGATGACACCTTGTATACTGTCACTGGAGTGAACTGGTTTGTAACAGAAGATTTAAAAAGTGTATATTGGCAAGTGGAAATGGGTCAAGCAGATCGACTGATGAAGGTCTATGTCAATTCACTTTCCTATCTGTTGGTCTTTGTAAGCCCAGCTACCTATAAACGTTTGATATAGACAGTGTTGAAGGGATTACATTGAAAGATTTGTCTAAGATCTACTTAGACGACGTAATCGTTTATAGCCAAACTTTTTACGAACATCTCTACAACGTTACCAGTGTTTTCAAAGAATCAAGAAGAGCGAATCTGAAATTGAATCCCAAGAAATGTCAGTTATTCCAAAAGCAAGGGGCCTTCCTTGGATATCTCGTTTCGTCTGAGGGATTGAGTACCGATCCTGAGAAAATAAAAACCGAATTAAGAGCTGGCCAGTCCCCGTAGACAAGTACCAATTTTGATCTTTTTCAGGCTTGTTTTCCTACTATCATCATTTACTAAGATTTGTTGACATTACGAAGCCTTTACATAAGCTATCGGAAGCAGACCAACTGTTTAACTGGAATGAACAATGCCAAAAATATTTTGATAGACTGAAAGACTCCCTCACCACTGCACGAATATTGTCATAACCACATGGGTCTTGGTGGAGTTCTTTCGCAAAACATCGATAGTACAGAGCAAGTTATTGGTTACTTTATTAAAGTCTTCTTCAAGGCGAAATTATTGTGATACACTAAGCGAATTACTTGTTATGATGAAAATATTGGAAACCTTCAATGGATCCTTCAATTCATAAACCCCGAAGGACAGGTTGTTCGTTGTATTGGCAGACATATGATTTTGACATAGAACATCGAAAAGGTACTCAGCATTATAATGCCAATAATTTGAGTAGACGGCCTTGTCCTGAAGACTATAACCTCTGTGGCAAAGTTAAAAAAAGGAACCCTTAGTTATAGCCAATTGTATAAGGACCCAGATTGGTACAGGAGGTTTTACATAGAAACAGGGAAAGTCTCGATGGAAGCCAGCACAAATTTCAACTTGTCCTATTAAAAAATCAAGTTATTGAAGTACTTTTTAAGTATCATAGTGGTGTTTCCGGAGACCATTTGGGAATAAACAAGTCTCTAGCAAAAGTCCAGAAATTATTGTTTTCAGACAATATATTATTGAATTCGTAAATTATCCAGCATTAAATCTCACAAAAATAAATTATTTTATACATTTCTCTAAGATTTATAGTTTAATTGCTGAATTAAGGTATCCCAGACACTACTAGCCTTCCTTGTATGTTTGGATTTTATGTTTATTAAACAATTTTACAGAAAAAAAAAGTTTCAAAATTATTTTTATACTTTTATAATAAACTAGCAAGTAGGTACACTAAAATGAACTGACAAACTCGATTTATATTTATTAAATAGAACAAAAAAAACGGTGTTTTCTCTTTTGATCTCTAGTTAACGCAGATAATTCAACCTTCGAAAAATGACCGTATTATACTATCCCTTATGTAACTTTTTTTTCTTACTCTCTACCATTCGCCTTAGGGCAGCCAATTCTCGCTTGAAAACCTCGGGAGTCTCATTTAATTCTTCTTCCGCTCTTTGTTTCCATTCACCGTCCAAGGATTTTATACCGCTCGAATGCTCACTGCAGACGGAGTTCTCCAAAGGCATGTCTGAAAAATGCAGAAGGTCAAAATATAAGAAAAATCGATGAAACCTGAATATTATCTGTTAAGTATTTAAAACAATTCTCATTTGTGTCTTTTAAGGATGAGTATTATTTAAAATATATATATGAAGATCTATAAACAAAACACTTATTTATTAATAAACTACCTCTCTGTCCCCACCAACTCCTACCTACCATCCCTTCTTAATTTTGTACACTGATAGTGTATATATCGAGTTTTGTCGAAAATAACGTAATTTCAAAAGGCTATAATTTGAAATTTAAATAGGGTAGGTCAACAATTTTATCCAATAAACTAAATGCAAATATTTGCAAATATTTTCTAAGAAAATTTAATTTTAAAATAGTATACAACACAGTAAAAAGCCCTGAAGTCAGGCCATGGAGTTGTATATACATTGTAAAAAATGACCTGCACCCTATTCTCAATGCTATGGCATGCTGGACGCACCATACAGTCTGTAGTCAACAACCCGACATATTAGCGGAAATATTCTTCTTCTTCTTTTTATGTATACATGACAGTCTATTTTTCAACGTGCCTCCAGTAAATTGTCATTCAATCGTTTTCGTGGTCTTCCTACTGATCATCTTCCTATTGGGGAACCGACTCTTGCCATCTTTATTAATCTATTTGTTGTCATTCGGTTTATATCATCGTTAAATTTTACATTTTTATTTTTTACCCAGTTTTTGATATTCTCCACCATAGACTGCATCTATGTTGTATATCTGTAGTTCTAGCTTTGTTCCATAGTGTCTTACCATAAATTTTTCATGGTATTCAGAAGTGTTTTCATCATTGCTGTTTCTAACATTATTTTTCTCCTCTCTGTGTAAGGTCTTGTTTCTGTCGCGTATGTCATTATTAGTCTGATGAGTGTTTTGTAAATTCTGCCTTTAATTTTTTCCCGATATTTTTATTTCTCCATATTGTTTCATTAAGGCAACCTGCGGCTCTGTTTGCTCTATTTACTTGATCTTTCACTTCAGTTTCGAGCTTTCCGTAGCTAGATAATCTGATGGCTAGATATTTAAACTCCATCACTTGTTCTATTATCTGACCTTCCAGCTCCAATTTACATCTTAGTAGATTTTCTGTTATAACCATGCATTTTGTTTTTATTGAAGAAATTACCATGTTAAATTTTCTGGCAGTTATATTAAATTGGCGCAGCATACGTTGTTAATCATCTTCACTTTGAGAGGGTAGTATTGCGTCTGCCCTCTCAAAGGGCAGATTATTTTAAGTTGTTTTTCTCCATTTTTGTATCCTTTTTTAGTTCTTACTGTTTTCATTATTTTAGTTGAACAATAAACCACTCAGGGATTTATCCTGTCTTATTCCATTGGCAACTTCAATAGGGTCGGTTAGTTCTTCTTCTACTTTTACTTTTATTGTGTTGTTTTGGTAGATATTTTGGTATTTCTTTTGCCTACAATAAGTGGGTAACGTCCTTTAATTTAACCTAGTCAAAAGCCGTCTTAAGGTCCATGAAACATAGATATGCTGGTTTGTTATATTCAAATGATTTCTCTTTCTTTTTTTCTTTCTTCTTCTACGTTGGTCACATACTAATAACTGAAAAATATGAGTTGATGCGATTGGTTATACGGGAAAGTGGAATGAAAAAGAGGACGGGAGAGAGGACACATGTTCTGGTTAAAAATTTCTTTAGAACCGCTGCAAACAGAGTAAAATGGGCCGTGATGATCGCCAAAGTCCTTAAAGGACGAGGCAGATAAAGAAGAAAAAGTAGAAAAACCATAATTATCGAATGTTGCTTTCGTACAGACGTAAAAGTAAATAACACGTAGTAGTATGCATTTTCAGAATGCAAAAACCCCATAGAAAAGTATACTACAAAGTAGCTTAAGATATGCGACGTCTGCTATGAAGCCATCACAAAGGCAATGTAGCTGAAAGAAAGTCAGTAGATGAACAGTGGAGATACATTATCAGTACAGGTAGCTAGAAGCTATCCATAGTTAGTAGTCTTATCTTCTTTCTTTTGAAAACTTGTAATGTATAGATTAATGGCCATTTTCAGCAACGACAGACGTCATGTTCTGAGCTACTCAGATGATCTGATTATCTTAGGTCAAAGCAAATTTAATGACACAATCAGAGAAGTTAAGTTAAATATCTGTACCTCAGAGCTAAACTGTATTAACTCCATTTTTTTGAAAAATTGTATTATTTCACTTTCTACATAACAGACTTCACATCTTTCATATGCAATACGATATTAAATCCTATTTAATGTAGTTTCAAAGATAAGCAACCATAAAGTGTATTAAGTCCCTCAGTAGTTCCGAGCTAAACAGTCGTTTACACTTAATACCCAGCAATGTAAGTATTATTAGTAGTATTAGTGGAGTTAATATCACATGCACATTTAAGATGTATTAACTCCACGGAACGACGTAAAACCGCGGTGTGGCACTGTAGTCAGTGTGTTTATGCTATTTCACATTGATGGTGTGTGTTTAATAACATTCTAAAGAATGTGTACCAGAGCAGATAAAATTGTGAAAAAAGCTTTAGAAAAGCATCAAGAGGTATGCTTTACTTCTCCGACGCAATGCAGTACTGATTCTGTGGAAAACAATCAAGCATTATCCTCTTCGTCGGCGATAAATAAATCTAACCTCAAAATAGGTACGTCTTAACAAATTTATTTAAAATAAAAAATTATTAGCCTTCAATATTACATAAAAACTTAATACGTATTTAGATATTTGGGGCGATTTTACGTGGTATTTTAACCGAAAATCCTTGTATTAAAAATGGACTTAGTACACAATAATTACTTTAAGACCGACAGACTGTATTAACTCCATAATTCGGTTTATAACTTAAATATTAAATGTAGTTATTAAATTAGGATAACAGTAATTATGTTTTAGGAAAAGTCGGCGATCTTGATGAAGGTACAAAAAACCAAAATATGCCTATTAAAATTATTTCTAATGTTAAAATTGCCTCACCTGTATCTTGCGAAGTTGTTATAGACAATGTTTCGCCATCTGTTTCGAGCAAAGGTATAACACAATTATTTCGGTTTTTGTAAATAAATAAAATATGTACATGTTTTATAATTTTTAGAAATCAATTTGCCCATATCCTTAGATGGAAATTACACTAATGGTACAATATCAACACTGAATCATGGATCCACAAGTCTTAATACACAAAATGTTGTAGAACTTGTCTCAACAACAGGTATATTTATTTATACTTCACAATTTCCTATTTGAATCATAATATTTTTTTTGTTTAGTTTCAGAAAATGGAATCATTTTACAGACTGCTTTACCCATTACCTGTAGTCCTCAAAGTATGGCAATTGTAGTGCAAGATAGAGAAGAGGTAGATCACGCGGATTTATGCTTGGAGTCTGATGACTCTATCAATGATAAAACATACGGACCAACTGACAACGAAACAGATAATTCTGAAAGTGAGTCAGATAATCAAAAACTCCCAGGTAAAAAAAGGAAATCAAATCCTCTGCGTTGGAAACGGAATGTTCGTAAAAAACAAGTGGCCGGTGGTAAAAAACGCCAAACCAAGAATACAGTTTTGCAATCGAAGCAAATTGGAGCACCATGTAAAGAAACCTGTAGCGTTGGGTGCACAAAAGCTATAACTGAAGATCAAAGACGTTGCATACATTCTGAATTTTGGGATCCTAATAAAAACATCGACATGAAAAGACAATTTGTAGCAGCAATGGTAGAATGCGTACCTGTGAGACGTATCCGGGAAACCACAGGAGCACGTTCTGGCATAAGGGAATTTACCAGGCGTTATTCATTATATTTTAATCATGTAAGGTATAAAGTTTGTCAGAAATTCTTTCTGTCTACCTTAAGTATATCCGAGACATTCGTTACAACAGCTCTTGCGAAGAAAAAGGAATGTGGAGTAGTTAATACAGACCAAAGGGGTAAACGTGAGCCTGTCAATAAAATTCCCGAATTCATCAAACAAGGCATTCGGGATCATATTAGCAAGTTCCCAACTATTGAATCGCATTATTCTAGAGAGCGTTCTCAGAAAAAATATCTTGGTTGTGAACTAAATATTACCAGAATGTATGAGATATACAGATCTGAGTTAATGGAAAGCAATACACCCGAAGAAAACATTGCTAAACTTTGGCTGTATTCTGAAATATTTAACACAGAATTTAATCTTTCATTTAAACTTCCATACAATGACACGTGTGATGAATGTGACAGATTAAATTTGGCCAAAATTCAGATGGTAGAAGGAAAAGAAAATATTGAACAAGATTATCAACAACATCTTTTGGAGGCTAGTAACAGGTATGAATTAAAAAGACTTGATAAGGAAAGAGCAGCAACAAGTGGTGGAACAATAAAATTATTGACACTGGATTTACAGAAATGTCTGCCAACGCCTGTTCTAAGTAACCAGCAGAGTTTTTATAAGCTCAAGTTATGGACATACAATTATACGATTTCAGACACTTCAGGTAATGTTACGTCTTGCATGATGTGGGATGAATCAAAGTCTGGACGTGGCGCAAACGAAATGGCTTCGGGCTTTTTGAGGTGGACTGAAGCTATAAATGAAAATATAAGAGAGATTACTGTATGGTCCGACAACTGCCCATCCCAGAACAGAAATATGATAATGGTTATGCTTTACTTTTGGATACTTCACAAGTATCCACAGATAAAAATTATAAATCACAAGTTTTTGTTACGTGGTCATACCCATTTAGAAGTGGACAGTGATCATTCTCTTATTGAGAGAGAACGAAAGAAAACACCCTTTTTAAAAATCATGACTCCCTGGGACTGTCAGCAGCTAGCACGACTTTGCTGTCGTTCTAAAACATTCAATGTAATTAATATGGAACTAAATGACTTTAAGGATTTTAAGACTCTTTACAACAACAACTGTTCACCTTTTGTTATAAGGAAAAAAACTCAGCAAAATACAGAC